AATGAATAGAAAATATAACCCAACATGTTGGGTCAAAGTCAAATTATGTAACCTAACCTGCTGGGTTAAAGAAACCCCATGTTGGCTCGCTCCATATTGGAGTAGCAGTATAGTAGAAGTAGTAGTAGTAGTAGTAGTAGTAGTAGTAGTAGTAGTAGTAGTAGTAGTAGCAATACTGCATTGCGTTGGCCAGTCCTCAGGTTTACATAACAGTGTGTGGCTCTCGTCTGAGTGTCATTGATTTTACAGCTTCACTCTGGCTCTGATGTGACAGAGTGAAACCACTGCCCCTCAGAGACTGTGGCCTGAGTCAGCAACAAGAGCCCATAACTCTACCTCTGCTACTGCATCTACTACATATACTACAGTACACAGGAGGACAGAGTACTAGTGGTAATAGTAGTAGTAACTGTAGTAGTAGTGATATTAGGAGTAACAGTAGTAATAGTAGTAGTAACAGTAGTAACAGTAGTAGTGGTAGTAGTTGTACCTCTACTGCTGCTAGGAAGAAGGAGGAAGAGTTGTAGTAGTAGTAGTAGTAGTAGTAGTAGTAGTAGTAGTAATTGTAGTAGTAGTGGTAGTAGGAGTAATAGTAGTAGTTGTAGTAGAAGTAATACCTCTGCTGCTATACATGCAGAAGAGGAGGAAGAAGGAGATACAGATATATTAGTAGTAGTAGTAGTAGCAGCGGTATACACAAGGAGAGTAGAAGAAGTAGTAATGAAATGAAGAGGGGTAGCAGCAGGAGTACCAAAAAAAAAAAAACAACAATATACACAAAACTGCTTATAACTTTACAACCAAGTACAAAATACAACAGCAGTAAAAGTATTAGCAGTATTTGTAGTACCATAGTTTTCTTGGTACCAGTGGAGATCTGATATAAATGAATGTTGTGCTTGGAGTTGCTGAGAAACAGGAGACGATGTGCCTATTAATAAGGACGCCTGGAACCCCAAGAGACCTGATACGAGACTTATATTTGCAGAATCAGTAAGTTTTTAATTAAACAAATACTGTTAAATCAGCTTTAATTTTTATTTTTATCATGAATTGTGTTTTAAAGTTTCACAAACCAATGACAGATAGTATAACCCAGATGGACGTGGTTAGTACAGCATGTTTAAAAAGTATATAAAGTTTGTATGTTTTTGTCATTAGTACTTGGTTTGGTGGGATAGTACTAGTTGTAAGTATTTCTTATCGAGGTACATCAGATAAGTGGCAGTTTGTGGATAAAAAGTTAAGAAAAAGATACCAAAAAGTAACAGGAAGTAAAAGAAGCAGAGGTTTAATCAGAATATTATCAACACAAGACAGGGATTTTGTACATTTTGAGCAGTCAAAAATTGTACTTTAAGAGTAACTTTACTTCAGAATTATATTACTCAAGTAGAATAAAGTAGTACCGTATTTTCCACACTATAGGGCGCGCTCTTAAGCCTCCAACCCCATCAAAAAAAGACTGCGCGCCCTGCAATCCAGAGCGCCCTATACACGAATCCACTCAGGTGTCCCAGCACGATTTCAGTAAACTACAAAGCCGCACCAACCTCAGCGCACGCAAACACACACGGAGCAGACAGCGACCGAACAGCGAAACACACCCACAGCCACACTCATCACTCCACGCTGACGAGGAACGGAACGGAGAAACGAACCGAAAAAGGGAGTCCAATGTGCCACTTCTAGACACTGCGAACACACCAACAATCCAGCGGCTCCAGACAGCACCCTCCCTACACCCCACAACTGAACAAAGCCCAGAGTCAAACAAAGTCCGACAGAGCCATCTAACTGTTGTGTTTCGTTTAAAGTCCCTTGTGGTTTATTTGTGAAAAAAGTTTGAAAATAGACCATCCTATGCCCTATGATCGCCCTATAGTGCAGAAAATACGGCAGTCCTTGAAATTACTCAAGTAGGAGTAACTTAAAGCGTAACAGTCACGAAGTAACATCTGGTTTATAATTTGAAGTTAATAAAACTTTAAACATGGCACAGAATTTGGTATTTTCAAAGGACAGACACAAAAAAGAAAAAAAAAAATCATATCTGAAGAAGCGCTGCAAGAAACACAAATGTTCAAATTGTCAACATGAAGCGTTTGTTACTTGTAGACTTACTTAAAGGTGCATTGGGTAACTTTTCTGGAGAGTCCGTCCGATGTTTTTCCACATGGAGATTTTATTGCTTTGTCTGGAATGTTTCACAGTACGGCATTAAACCTTTCTATCTTCATGGAGACCAAATCAGACAAAGTTACGTGTCAGATCTGTGGAGATGTGACACAGTTTACAGTCAGAATGTCAGAATTTTTGAGCTATAAATCCACTTGTAATTGAATAAATGTAAATTAGAGCTGTTTATTTTCATACTGTGGAACATTCCAGGCCATAGAAACAAGCAGGTGACAGACTCTAGACCAAAAAAGTTACACAGTGAGTGCGTATACATGCACATCAGTAACCCGGTTATTAGCCATACCCCGGTTATGTCAGTATTCGGGTTACTGCGTTTACATGCGCACTGAGAAACCGGGATACTCATATCCGCGTATACATGATCAAATGGAGTATCCCGGTTTCTTGACATAATCTTACAAATGCGCAGGCGCAAAAATTAACTTAAATCAATTTCATAAACCAGGAAAAATACAAACCGTGAGCTCCTTTAGCATAAGAAGCTAAGGAGCTACGAGATTTCCCACAATCCACTGTGCAATTCTTCATTAAAATCTTCTGCAAAATAAACTCAACTTTACAACATATCAACCATAAACACTATAGCGCCACATCAGCCCGTTTGATCATATAATTCAGCTGTGATCAATTTGTTTACGTTTTACAGAAACGAAACTTAAGACCGTAGGCTAATTAGCATAAACTGTTAGCAGCGATAAAAACAACTCGCTCCTTGCGCCGCTGATGCGATCAGTTTCTTTTGGACTAAATGACACGACTCTGTGGATTATGTGTGTTATTTCTGTGACAGAAGAGGCGCTAATGATGGTAAGTGTGTTCCGTGCATATAGTGTATAGGAGATAGTTCATGTTTTAGCTTTTCAGCGATCACACGAGTGCAGGTCGTACGAGTGCAGATTGTACGTGTGCAGGTTTAGCGCAGCTCTTTATTTTACAGTCATTTCACTCGTTTGGTCACTTTATTTATGTTGGTCAATTTATTTATGTGACTACTGTTGTGGTGAAAGGCTGGAAAGTGTCTTTTGGACGCATGCGCACTCAACTTTATGTAGTAGTAATCGTGATACAGTGTATACATGCCACAAGTAACCCGGTTACTATCGGAATATCGGATACTGCCATAACCGGGTTACTGAAACCGGGTTACTGCGTATACATGCACCATCAAGAAACCGGGATACTCAAAAAACCCGATCATAACCGGGTTACTGATGTGCATGTATACGCACTCAATGAACCTTTAAAGTGTGAAGAGTGACCAAAACTTTTACTTAAGTAAGAGTACTGTAACTTCAATTAAAAAAACAAACAAACAAACAAACAAAAAAACTTAAGTATTAGTAAAAGTATGCAACTGGAAAAGTACATTTAAAAAAAAAAAGAGAGAGAGGAGAAGGTGCAGAAGATAATTTAATTGCACGCTTATGAGAATTCTCCAAAAAGGTTAAAGCAGAGAAGTTGGTCTTTTCTTCTACACCCTGGGGCCCCACAGTCACACGTGGCCCTTAAATAAATTACATATCGGCTCCTTTCAATTACCGTCCTGCCTCGGGCTCACGCGCCAAACCTCATTTCAACAGCTCAATGTTTAGCTGCAATTCACCTTTTCACCAACGGGGGTCAGTATTGTATAGTTTTTAGATTTGGACCTGCGAGTTAATTTGTTTATAAGTAAAATATTTTGTGACAACGTAAAACACTGATTTAAAAAAAAAAAAACAAAAAAAAAAACTATATAAATAAGACAAAAATAGTATTAAAATATTCGGACGATTCTAAATGTGTTAAAAGTACTTTGTGAAAGATCGGTGTTGTGACTAAAAACGCACCCTTTCAGATGTCAACACGTCAACAAGACTATTTTGAGAGTATATAGGGCTAAAATCCACGCTCACACGTTGTAAAGTAGAACTAAACTCTAAAAAACAGATCCAAACCGGTATCTTTAAAATCACAAGAATACCAAATTAGATCAATACAATATGACAGAACCGGGTCTATAGCAGTTCTAATCAATTCACATTATAGCGAGAGCATAGGGCAATAGTTGTCAATATGTGAAGTCTATGTCCCCATTATAACACTTTGCTGGAGGTGCTAAATGTCAAGATTACATTATTAAACTTTTAGACTAAGATTTTTTATTTATTTTTTTTCATATCTGAAAGTTTTGACAGTTCACGAGAAGTCTTCCTCGGAGCTGTTGCAAGAATGTAATAAAATGTAATGTAATAAAAGAACGCCAAATGAACTTTGTCGGACCATACATTATTGAACTTTTTACCTCTTTAACAGATGAAAAAATGAACAAATGCAAAGTTATGAAAGTTATATCTATATACGATTGGATTACAGTAAGCTATAGCTAAGTAGTTTTGTTTCCACTCAGACTAAATAAAAGTGACAATATTGCCAGTTTTCTCTCGATTTTTCCTTGTTAGATTTAAAAAATAAAAATTACAACCATTAATGCATTTATTTATTGATAAGCTCGTAATGTACCACTAAGAAATGCAAATTTATTTACGTTATTTCCAAATATAGTTCCATAAGCTTACAGTAAGCTAAGTAAGTAGAATAAACTGATAACATAGCTAGCTTCATGAGAAACAATGGCAATTTTTTTTTATTATTATTATTAAAACTTGTGCGTACACTTATTTAGTACAACAATTTGACAGCTTTAAAATTTTAATAAAAAATAAATAAGTGAACGAATTTGGTATTTTTTTTCCATGGGGTACGCAGTTCGTCGTAACCCCGGAAGTGGGCGGCCTGACAGCGCTGTGTTGACTGGAGCAACGGAGAGGGTACACGGCCAAAGTAAAGTGACACCTCGTACACTCACACAGGGAGACTACCGCTGCCCTCCGCTTCAACGTTTTACCGTCAATTTCATGAACTAGGAACGCACTTTGGGCACGATCGCTCCACGGAGGTAAGCCGCAATTTTGCACGTTTTTCCGAAGTGTGTTTTTTAACGCCGTCATGTAATTTCGATACTACTTCTGCCGCTGTTGCTTGTTGGTTGAAGGGTCGACTCGAGGGAATATTGTGACAGCGATCTGTAAACAAACTCCACTGTTGCTTCAGGTGTAATTTGCAAGATTTCTTTCTGATTTTCAAGATTTGTTGGTTACTTTTAGCCTGTTTTGGATTGCTTTTACGCGTGAAACCGTGCGTACTCGGCTGTGCGCCCTGCTTCTTATTTTAAAAGCCGAGTTCGCTTTTCTCAATTAACCCGTGTCTTGTCATGAGTTACATACATGTTGCTGGTGGTTAGATTAGACGCTTGTTACTTGAGAATAGTGAAAACAACCCGTGTGCGTGGCTTGTATGTCGGCATATGGCGTAAAAATGTGTTCGCACTCCTCCAGATATGTCCACTTGACCCTCGCCTAAGGTGAGGTAGCACTGACAACCAAACGTGACACAAGTGCAGAGTTTGTGTGTAGGAACCTTCAACCCCATGCTTTACATACAAGACCACTACAACCCCGTTTTAAACTCAGGTCGTATGCTCCATTTGATTAATATTGCATGTTTTGGACCATGTAGGGTATGTAATGTAACGGAATTGATAAATAAATAAAAAGAAAGCTATGCAAGTTTCATGTTGGGGTTATGAGAAAATGAAGAAAATTGAGCTGTTCTGAGTTGATACGAGTTCGGTGCCAAAAATATTCAGAATTGATAGGTGCTGAAGTTGGGACAGGCAAAAATGCTTGCAGTTGCAGATTTTGTTGTGCTGTGAAAAAAAGAAAAAACAAAAGAAATGAAAAAGGATAATAAATAAAAAAGAGATTATAATTTGAATTGATCAGAAAATGTATTCAAAAATACTATGTACAATTTGAATAAATAGATAAATAAATAGATAAATAAACAGATAAATAAATATATAGATAAATAAATATAAAATAAATAAATAAATAATTCAGTTACATTTTAGTGTATCTCTTTAATCAATTCCGTAACTAGAGCCTATATTTAAACTGACAATGTTTAAAAAGTTTGGACACGATTTCTTTAACATTGCAAGATTTTGGAGCATGCCTTTGCAGATTTTTATGCTGTCTGATTAATTTAATAGCAAGCACTAGCAAAAAAAATAAAATAAATAAAAAATTGTATTATTTATTTCAATTTGCTTTTTCTCATTATCTATAATTGCACTAGATAATACCCAACAGGCTCAGTTTGCAACATGTTCAAATGGATTTTATAATTTTTTTAATGAATTGGTGTCTTTGTGTTGCATTACTTGGGAAAAGCCGAACTATGGTGTTGAATCAAGTTGACATTTGCCTCTGTAATTGCTGGCGAATCTATGTTCAGAGCTGTTGAAATGCCAGGTTTTTGATGTTTCATTTTTCAAAGCTTGTCTAAATGTCATGCACTGTGATATGTGCACAATTCCTGCGATAAGCCCTGGTCTCTCTGTGTATTGTATGAATGTGCTGGAGGTCATAGCAGTGTTTGGTACTTTTCTAATTAAAATGTTTTATGTTGAGTGGTACAAATACAAAAGTGTCTGTCAAAAATTTTTAACCGGAATGCTTTTGAATGTTGATACTAGTTAGTTGCATTTAAAGAGCCCGTATCATGCTGTTTTCTGATTTATATTATACTGTTTCCTCATCGCAAACAGACCCGGAGTTGTGTTTTGTTTTGTTTCATTCGCACATGTTTAACACACAAACACTGCATGTTTGTGTTGAGTTCTTATCTCAAACGGAAAGCGCTCTCTTCCACCTTGTGATGTCATGCCGTGATACAGGAAGTGCTCCACTGTGTTTTTAAACCCCACACACCTTCACTAGAATCGTTTGGATAATTTCAGCCCTAGAATTCACCACTGAACAAAAGGTAAACGGTAAAGTTTAGCCGCTAATGTGATTGTTAACTACCAATTCATGACATCACAAGGTGGAACAGAACATTTTGAGCTTTGGAGATGTATAGACTAATAATAAAAGCTTACTCAAATGCACGTGAATGAAACAAAACACAACTTCAGGTATGTTTTTGAAGAGGTAACAACATTATAACATGGCTAAAACCTCAGACGAGTAAATTTAATGTAATATAAGACCTTTTGAAGTAGTACTTTTTGATAAAATTTTCCTGGATTTAAGCAGGCGTAAAGCAGGACTTAAAACAGACAAAAGCAGGCTTAGACCTGGACTATTTCAGATGTGCCTCTCTATTTTGTTTCATGCATCTGAAACGAAGAATCTCATTGGTCACCCATCATTTTGAACAAAAGTACACATCTCTTACCTCACATTAGTTTAGTCCCAGTTCAGTCCTTCTGTTATTTATTCTGCAGAAGTCCAGAGTTTTTGTCAGTCCCCTGTGATATAAATTTCCTTTCTTTTTCCTCGTAAGCAGCCATGTTTGTGTCATTCACTCCTCACTGAGCTCATGGGAGACACTTTAGCAGAGGATCCAAAAAACACACACTTCTCCAATGTGATGTGTTGCAATTTGTGTTGGCGCAATTATCAGATTGCAAAGGCTGCAATTATTTACACAATATAGTGTCCATTGCAAAGAAAAAAACATCGTCTCTTTAGAAAATAGAAAAGTCTTGTGTCTGTAGTCAAGACTTTTACAAACATAATCCTGAACAGAACTCTAAATACAAAATACACAAATTTAATCCCAATTACAAATATTTAAACCCTTTTTTTCCCTCAAAATTGTGCGTTTCTAATTCCAGGACTTAAAGGGCTCATATTACGCTATTTTCTGATCTATATTTAGGCATATTTAGGCTGATTTCTTCTTTCAAACTCTCTCAAAATGCTCTGTTCCACCTTGTGATGTCATGTGGTGATACAGGAAGCGCTCCACTCTGTTTTTAAACTCCATACACTTTCACTAGAATCATTTCAGCCCTGGAATTGCCACTCTCTTCTAAACAAAAGGTAAAATATAGCTGTTAACTTGAAAATTACCACTTTATGACATCACAAGGTGGAACAGAACATTTTGAGCTTTGGAGGTGTTGACAGACTAATAATACAGCATTACTCAAACATGTGTGAATGAAACAAAACACAACTCCAGGGCTGTTTTCGAGGAGGTAACGACATTCTAACATGACTTAAAGCTCACAAGAGTCAATTTTGCGCAATATTGGACCTTTAACTCGAGCAAAGCATTTTATTAGTTTGCAGTCTATACTCCGAAAGATTTAATAAAACTCATATATTGTACTGCCAACATATCTACTCCCAGATAGACGTACTTACTTAGACTTAGATAAACTTTGTTGATCCACAAGGGAAATTACTTGGGCACAGTAGCTCGCACATCTCAGTATAATATAATAACAAAGAGTAAAAAGATATAGAAAATGGTAATAATAAATTCTGTATAGATGAATCATTGCTGTAGATTGTGTCGTTTTCAGTGTCGGTAAATTCACAGTAGCTGATGCTGGACAGCTCTGTGCAGACTGAGCTTGTTGAGGCTGGTGCATGTGTGCGTATTTGTCTCAGTAATAAGCAGCACCATGACTTCAATAGCATTAGCCACCGTCTCCGGGGGAAACCACTTGTCAGGCTACATCTCTCGCCTTCCCGCTGTCTGCTGCTTGGGTTTACTGTCACCTCAGCGCTCGCCACAATCACTACTATAAAGAACAGTTAAAGGTCCTGTATTACGCAAAACTGACTTGTGAGCTTTAAGATACAGAAACATACGCAGAGTTGTGTTTTGTTTCGTTCACACACGTTTGAGTAAGCTTTTATTATTAGTCTGTCTACATCTCCAAAGCTCAAAATGCTCTAATCCACCTTGTGATGTCATGAAGCGTTTGTTTTGGGGGGTTTTTCATGTTAACAGCAGCATTTTACCTTTTGTTCCGTAGAGATTGGCAATTCCAGAGCAGAAATCATCCAAATGATTTTATTGAAGGCGCATGGAGTTTAAAAACACAGTGGAGCACTTCCTGTAGTACCGCATGACATCACAAGTTGGAACAGAGTGTTTTCAGTTTGAGAGAAGAACTCAGCCTACTCATATTTAGGGATGCGGTGTTCCAGCTTTTTCATTTCCGATACCGATTTCAGTATCAAGCCAATACCAATACCAGTGCAGAAAAACATCATGTATTTGTTTAAAATAAATTAAAGTCAGACAAAACTGACAAACGTGTTATTTAGCTGTTATTTATCTCTCCAGTAAGTACAGAATAGCTTTGTGTAAATAAAAATTCAAACGTTATGAGACTTTCTGAGCTGTGTATGGCCAATAGTCTTATCACATTAAATAAATATAATATAGAGCAGTTTAATGTCATACTGTGGAACATTCGAAACAGAGCAATGACATATCCATAGAAACAAGATCTGAAAAGTTACATATTGTATCTTAAACCCAAATGAACACACTTAAACTGATTTCTGATGATCTACAAAAACATAGCCAGTCTATTATTATTGGATAAACACTAAAATGTTTTGAAATGAGATGAATCGGCTGTTTATTTAAAGCCTTGTATTGTAGCCACAACCATCTGCACTTAGTTTAGTCGATTAAAGCATGTGAACTAAATGATTTTATTGGGATTATAAAGGGATTTCTTCTAAGCAAACACTGTGAAGTACTATTCTGTATTCATAATTGTTATTGCATCTCGTAAATGCAGTTTGGGGTAGATTTATATGGTCGGATTGAGACGTTGGACTGTCTGTTAAGTAAACAATGTCTATAGCATGTCAGTTATTAAAGCTGCACTGCGTAACTTTTCTGGTGGAGGGTCCACAAACAGCTTGTCTCTGGGATGTTACACGGTATGACGTTAAACAAATATATCTTGTATGTATTCGTTTATAGGCGTTCATATTTCTCAAAACTAAAGCTAAGATATGCAGTTCTTACTGCGAGCTGGCCCACTTCTCCACAGATCTGACCTGTAACCTGGCC